GGGGGGGGGGGGCGGCCAGAGGCTTTTTTGCCTAGGGCGGCAAAAAAGCCAGAGCCGGCCCTGCCTGCAAACCAGCGTGGCCATGGTTCATCCATGCAAAACACGGCGGCAGCGGCAAAGCACAGGGTGTGGGTGGCTGGGCAGGAGGTGTCCCCTCTCCCCCGAACAAGAAATAAAAGTTGGAGCCCAGCAGCAGGGCTGCGATCCGCACGCAGTGGCAGGTTGGCAGAGATCAGGCTTTGCTCTGCTCCCTGGGGCCAGGCTGAGCTGCAAAACGAGGGGCGCAGGAGAAGCACCGGCCGCAGGAGCCGCCGCCACAAGATGCACACAGCAGAGCCCGAAGTGAGTGCTGCCAAAGACGCGGACGTGCTGGGAAGCACCGAGTGAGTGCTCAGGGGAGTGACCGCTCCCCCTGCTCCCCCCCAGCTACGCTGCTGCTCTCAACACTAAATGCGAATCAGGCATCAGTATTTTGGATTTTGCAGCGTTTGTTGCCAGGGAGCTGATACTGAAGGTTAAAAATTACTTTGAAGAGGCTTTGCCAGTGGAGAATAACCATCTCTATGCAATTCCTATTCCAATTCCTTCCAAACAATAATGTTTATAGATCATTGATGAACTATAAATACATTGGGGGTGGCCTTTTAAGATGAAGGGTTAAATGTATTTTGTGGAATTTTATTTTTGCGTGTGTAACTAAGAAGAAAATTCCAGCAGCCCTTTCTATTGTTAGTTATTTAGTTACCAGAATTTAGGACAGTTTATACATAAGTCTTAAAAGTCAAATCTGCCAGCTATTTTTAACCGTTCCCAAGAGCTAAACATGTTGCTCTCTTGGAGGATTGGCAGATGTATAGTGATTTTATTTGTGAAACCCAGTTAGAATATTAGAACTATTGTCATTTTAGCAGAGAAGTCCAAACACAAGCTGCCGCTTATACCCATGAGCACTAAAATAATTAACTGGTAGGTATTTCAATTGACAGTAACTCCTATGAACTGGAACTGCTAAAAGATGACTAGTGAGATTTGGACCATTACTTCATCAGCAATCAGTTTAATAGCAGTAGATAAAAAGATCAGACATAAAGAGAAGAGATAAAAGAACAGCATTAGGGAGGGGAAAATATTCCTAATTTGAGCTCTGGACATTTTTTCTAATGGATTCTCTTCCCAAGCCACACTGACAAGAGAATGACTTATTTTCACATTGGTTCAACAACATGTGGGACCTATGTTCTCCCTTTGAAGCATGCCTATATCTTCTATTAGCAGCATCAATGAGAGCTGTTCATGTGTACCAAAGGGCAAATTGTCCTGACTTGCAAGTATGTATTTGGAACATAAGTACTTGATTTTGTACTTCCCAATGAGCCAACAGCTGTCATAGATTTTATGGGTGTTAAGGGAGTTGCTCTATTGTTGCTTTACAGAAAAAAGAGAGTAATTGAGTCCACTAATCTTTTCCACAGTCTTGTGACTTCAGCCAGTATTCTCTGGATCACTATCAGAACCCCCAACTCTTTTTCAGAGTAGGGCGGAGAATTGTTTTGGCTGTAATTAGCTATGTGCAGCAAATGGTATTATGCTCAGTGACTGCACATAATATCTTTTGCCTCTGTTTTTATTCTTGTTAACCCTATAGCAAGCCTTAACCAGGAAGAAAAGGCCAGACAAGGAGGGAGAAAAATTGTTCTTCTTAGCCTCTGAGGATAGGACAAGAAGCAATGGGCTTAAATTGCAGCAAGGGAGGTTTAGGTTGGACATTAGGAAAAACTTCCTAACTGTCAAGGTGGTTAAGAACTGGAATAAATTGCCTAGGGAGGTTGTGGAATCTCCATCATTAGAGATTTTTAAGAGCAGGTTAGACAAACACCTGTCAGGGATGGTCTAGATCAGTGGTTCCCAAACTTGTTCCGCCGCTTGTGCAGGGCCCTGGCGGGCCGGGCTGGTTGGTTTACCTGCTGCGTCCACAGGTTTGGCTGATCACGGCTCCCAGTGGTCGCGATTCGCTGCTCCAGGCCAAGGGGAGCTGCTGGAAGCGGCGCGGGCCGAGGGACGTACTGACCACCGCTTCCAGCAGCTCCCATTGGCCTGGAGCAGCGAACCGCGGCCACTGGGAGCTGCGATCGGCCGAACCTGCAGACGCAGCAGGTAAACCAACCGGCCCGGCCCGCCAGGGGCTTTCCCTGCACAAGCAGCAGAACAAGTTTGGGAACCACTGGTTTAGATAATACTTAGTCCTGCCACGAGTGCAGGGGACTGGACTAGATGACCTCTCGAGATCCCTTCCAGGCCTATGATTCTATAATTCTATGACTTAGTTTAGGAAAATAAGAACTGCCATACTAATCTTAACAATGCCATCCAGTAGCCTGTCACTTACAGTGGCCAGTACGAGATGCTTCAGAGAAAAGTGTAAAACCCACATAAAGGGTAATTAATCCAAGGGAAAATTTCTTCCAGCATTGAAGCTTGTTGCTTTACAGTAGCAATTGAGGTTTATGGTTTTGTGGATAATTTCTTGTTCATTGGACACACTGTAATAACTGTAGAGAGAGTACAAATGATAGCATGCCCTCAAGCTCTAGGCTGATACTGATGAGTTTGCAAGAGTACAATAAGGATCATTCACTTTTACTTCTATTATACAGAGAGATGGTCTTGAACTGGAATATTGGATCCAAACCCCCTTGATCTTTGAGAAAATCTGGATCTGGATTTGGATCCATGCTTCGTGGCTGAGGTCCATCTATACAAAGTACATCCAAAGTAGAACTTACTTCAGATCATGATCTGGATCTTATCTTTACACCTCAGGCTTCTCTCTTGTTATATTTGAGAGTCTGGCTCTTCACAAGCAAGCTGTCATAAGAGACTGGGAAGTTGGGACTTTAAATAAATGCAACCTAACTCAGAAACTAAAACATTTGGCAAATTTATAAGGCCGTTTTGTGCTATAAGCTTGTCATATAAATCAACAGAAATAAAATGAAACCCATCTACTGAAACTGTGGTGTTTTGCACCTGGATTTCTCCTGGGGGTCACTGTGAAAATCACAGAAACTCATAATCAGACCATGCAGGTATTCTAAAGGCAAGACCACACCCCAGGATCCAGCCCTTACGATAGAATAGAATATTAATATAAATGTGAGTAATACAGTGAAATGAAATCCACGTCCATTCAAAATTTTAAAAGATTCTAAACAATGGGTTAAAATTTCTCTAGTATGTTTAGACTGATTCCATTTATTTGTATAGCTGTACTGTAGTTCCAATTGTGTGTGAAATAATCAAGTAATAAAGACTGATTGAATTTTAAATTTAAATATACAGGGCGCCAATCAGGATAAGTGTTTTGATTCCTTAATCTTATGAATTCAGACTAAGAAATAGCAGAATTTTACATTTGGGAGATCACAGATTTCTATGAATGAAAACAGGGAATGCGCTCATAAACCTAACTGCAAAAATCTGTATATGAAACAGTCAGCTGATGTAAATAGGCAAAGCTCCACTGAAGTCAATGAATTTACACTGATTTATACCAACTGAGGATCTGGCCCATGATGTTTTCATCTGACCCTGATCTTTAGGGGCTGACGTGAAAACTTTATACTATATTTCACTGGCATAGACAAATTCTGCTCACCTTGTTCACTCTAATACTACCATTGACAATCTAATGTTATAACATTCTTTTTTTTCCCAAAAGACCTTTTCCATGCCTGATAAAGAAGAGCAAAGAGCACTGATCAATGGCATCTGCCTGCTTTTTGTCCTTGTTGGAGTTGTATCATTTTTCACACAGTTCCTGCAGGTAATGGCAATTCATTAAACTTCTGCTTTGCTAGTTTCTTTTCTGTTCATGTCTGGCTATGTGTGCATGTGTGTATTCTGTATAATAAGTGTATTTGTTCTTATGCATACCAGGGATACACATTTGCAAAATCTGGTGAGTTGCTTACAAGACGGTTAAGGAAAATTGGTTTCCAAGCTATGCTAGGGCAAGAGATTGGTTGGTTTGATGACCACAGAAACAGCCCTGGTGCCTTGACTACAAGACTTGCAACAGATGCATCACAGGTTCAAGGGGTAAGAAACTATATATTAGGAATTATTTTGCTTCATGCTAATTACTGCATTACTTTGGTATGTGATGTCACAAGAATTATCTAGTGTGTAAACAGTAATATAAATATATATCTAATCTCATGGTCTCTACTGTCACTCTACCTAGCTAAGCTATTTCCAATGTGTGCACTATCTATCATAGACTGGCACAGCAATTAGTTACTCTCCGTATAAAGAACTAAATGCAGAACTAGAGCCAGATCCTGCTGTCCATTGTACCAGTGTAAACAGATCAGTGCCATAAAAGTCAGTAAAGTTACCACAAGTCACCAATATAACTGAAAGAAGAATTTAGGATATAATCTTCAATTTCTCATTCCTGAAGGTGGAATTTTGCCATAATCACTAAATGCATATTTCTGAAACATATCACAGTCATTTTCAACCAAATTCATCAATAGTAATATCATTGATTAAACAGAATTTTCAGCCGGGTGTGGAGTTTATTACAAGTGGCTGTTGTGATTTATGCTAACAATCCACTTAAGAAAAGCACTCCCTACTACTACATGGTATGCCATTTTGGGATCAGTCTCAGGCTGGCATGGACTAACATTGCACAAGTAATGCTCTTATTTTTTGGGAAGGCTGCCTGTTAGCACCATATTCTAGCACCCCCTGCTGGTTGAAGGTGTATGCTGCTGAGTTATGTGTGTGGTCAACCTTAGCACTGATACTTGGTTCTAAACTTAAAGCAAGTAATTTTGTTTCTACAAACACAGAAAGTAATGTATGGGCTTTTTTGTTACTGATATTTAACGGGTGATAGGAGTTTTGCTGGACTTTTTTCTTCTTGGAGTTTTAAGGAATTTAAAATAAGAATGAGAGAGAAAGAAGAAAAAGTTGCAGCCTACAGCTTCCTGTAAGCAGCAAGCTGTCAGTATTTCCCCAGCATCTCCGAAATCAGCAGCCATCTCCCTCCCCCTTCTTTCAGTTACATTAAGTTGCAAACACTTACATGTTCCATTTTAATTTGCATGCACAGACTTCTTAACACCAACTCTGCCTTACAGCAGCTGCATAAGAGAAGGCTTTGTTCTAGGCTAAAGCAGTATTCTCTGCCTTCTCTGAAGATTCTAGTGACTGCACTCTACACAATAAACAGAGCTGTGAAATGAACAAAGCCAAAAACTTTTCCCAACTCTTGGGTTTAGTTTCAGTTCCGTTATTAATAAGAGGTCAAATAATGAAGCTCAACTGGAATGTATTAATCAATGATAATTAGTCAAGGATTAACACAACCCAATACAGAATATAGAAAGGAAGGCTATGGTTACCAAACCAATCTGGAAACTGGACAAGTTACTGCAGCTCGATTCACTTCTATCTAAGTCCCAGAAACTCTGCTCTTTATATACCAACTTGTTCAAGACAAGGAAAAATCCTTTCCCTTTCTGATCTAGTGGAGGAGATCCTTTTATGCTATTTCAGCTTACCTAATCAATGAGCTAAAGATATCTGTAATTTATCTGTTCTTTTATGATATCTTAGCTTATCTGTCCTGATTATAGAAAACACCTGTGGCAACAAGTAATTCTTAATAAGCTAAAGACATCTCTCAGTGGGTCATTATCTCATCAATCACTGAGACATTATCTCATCAATCACAAGTGGACCCTTACTGGACATCTGGACATATTCTTCACAGGTCAACAGGATCAGGGTAAAAATATTATACACATTCCACCTCTTGGTCACACATTAAATTTAACCTAAGTACAGAGTCCCTAGAATCATAGATACAAAACTAGAATCATAGATACAAAACACTTAAGTTCATGCACAAAGGATGATGGGGTTTTGTATACAAAGAATCACAGGGAGTTTGATTCATTTGCTAACACTCCAACCTTTGCTGCCTAGATTATCAATCATGGCAATACTAAACTACTTGATTAAGTGTTTATATGAGGTTCTAGTTAATGCATTCAGGAAGGATTTATATTGTTGTAACAAAATATGCAAGCAACGATACAAAATTAACTACTGGCTGTAGTTAACCATCCCAAATGGGTAGGGATATTTTACTCCTAGAAGTAGCATCAAGGATATCAAACACCAGGAGAGAAGTCTCTTGATAGGTACTGCAGGTAGATTTAAGGTGGACACCGTGTGAGCCACCAAAATTGTGGAACTGCGTAGAGTCCTCATCCAGTGATATATCAGATTAAAAATCTGGTTCCATATGCTCCTGCTCAAAGAAAGGCGCTATTGCCTCATCTTCTTCCTTGGACAGCATTTCAGGCATCATCATCTGCAGTGTCGACAGATCCAAAGGAGTCGGGTCCCAAAGATCTCTGGACTACCAGATCCTTTGTAGATGAAATATTACCTCTCCATCCACATGGAGGATAACTGAAAAATTTCTGAGGTGGCCCCATGGGCCCCAGAAATACCAGTTTCCCCAGCAACTGGGGTTTGGGAACATGCCTACTGGAGGCAGACCCCATACGATGGTATGAAGTGAACCACAGGCCTCTGCATTCTTCCTCAAACCCTTGCGCCTGATCCTGCAGTATTTCTAGAGCCGTGAGAGGAGCCGCAAGGAAAATGAGGATTTCTTGCAGGCTGTTTTTCTGTGTGCTATGGAAAGAAACATTTCTAGGTGGTTGTTGCGCTGTTTCAGGGCCCGGGAAACAAGCACTGACTGGTGGGATCACATTGTTATATGGGATGATGATGAGCAGTGGCTGCTGAACTTTCGGATGCGCAAGGCTAAATTCCTGGAACCATGTGCGGAGCTCTCCCCAGCCCTCTGGTGCAGTGACATCAAAATGAGAGCTGTAGTGATGGTGGAGAAGTGAGTGGCGATCACTGAGTGGCAGCTTGCAATGCCAGATTGCTACTGATCAGCAGGGAATCCAGAGTGCACCGAGGATAACAATGGATCCAGAGGGAGGTATGGAGACCCATCTGTCTGTGGAAACCCTGTAGGGGGTTGTAGAAGGAGGAAGCACAGGGTGTTCCAGGGAAAGACCAGAAACACCTTCCTGTCTTTTCTTACTAACATGAGATGAGGAAGACCTTGGGATCAGGGAAACATGCCTCCTTTTAGAAACCTTGCGTGTGAGACTTGGAACAGACACATGAACCAGAGTTGAAAAGTGAATTTGGGCTGACACTGTGACAGAGCTTTCCGGAACCAAGGATGTAGCCAGAATTAACAGAGGAACTGACAATGGTTCTGTCGATTTGGACATTATACACAAATCCATCTCCCTTCTCTGGAGCTGGACATAGAGCCATTCTGGAGCTGTAGCAGTCTTGTCAGACCCAATAGTTCTGATCCATGGGAACTGGCACTGCTAACAGTGGCTGCTCTGTCCCTATGTTCCTTTTTCTTTAGTGCTGCAACAGCTGAACTGAAGATGCTGATGGCCCCCGTTCTGACACGCTGATCAATTCCATCTTCCTGGATCTGGTAATGGAAGTTGGAACTACAAAATGCAATGAACAGTGTAAATAGAAATTAGGTGAACCAAAAAAGTTTCCCTGTTGGTTAAGACCTTAACAAAGGAAGACCAAGGGTTTTATAAAATAAGTATTAACATTTTCTCCAAGGAAAAAAGATCCACATGTCCCGCGTACCAGAAACGAAAAGAATTACCCTAAGGGTAGTAGACCCGCTTGCAGCAACTACCACGGCAACAACCACAGAACCTATTTCATGTCCAAAAGTGGAACCAGGACCAAAGAGTGGACTCACCCTTCTTTCAATACCCAATTTATGCATATATCTATGGTTTTAAAATCATTACATTGGAATATGGCAGAAATTGAAATGTGTAAAAATACTGTGTCTAGATTATCCACTTCTATACCAATTGAAAGATAGGCTGCATATCAATGAGCAAATAAGGGATGCTATTGGGAGTCAGGAAACTCAATCCTATTCTGATATTTTTAGGACATAAGGGTTACAAATAGGGCTGTCAAGTGATTAAAAAATTATCCATAATTAATCGTGATTAAAAAATTAATCATGATTAATTGTGCAATTAATCGCGTTGTTATAGAATACCATTTATTTAAATATTGTTGGATGTTTTCTACATTTTCAAATATATTTATTTCAATTACAACACAGAATACAAACTGTACAGTGTTCACTTTATATTTATTTTGATTATAAATATTTGCACTGTAAAAAGCAAAAGAATTAGTATTTTTCAATTCACTGAATACGAATACTGTAGTGCAATCTCCTTATCATGAAAGTCGAACTTACAAATGTAGAATTATGTACAAAAAATAACTGCATTCAAAAATAAAACAATGTGCAACTTTAGAGCCTGCAAGTCCACTCAGTCCTACTTCTTGTTCAGCCAATCACTCAGACAAATAAGTCTGTTTACATTTGCAGGAGATAATGCTGCTCGCTTCTTGTTCACAATGTCACCTGAAAGTGAGAACAAGCATTTGCATGGCAGTGTGGTAGCTGGCGTTCCAAGGTATTTACGTGCCAGATGCATTAAAGATTCATATGTCACCTTCATGCTTCAACCACCATTCCAGAGGTCATGCATGCATGCGGATGATGGATTCTGCTCGATAATGATCCAAATCAGTGCGGACTGACGCATGTTCATTTTCATCATCTGTCTCAAATGCCACCAGCAGAAGTCTGATTTTCTTTTTTGGTGGTTCAGGTTCTATAGTTTCTACATTGTAGTGTTGCTCTTTTAAAACTTCTGAAAGCATGCTCCATACCTCATCCCTCTCAGATTTTGGAAGGGACTTCAGATTTTTAAACCTATGGTCAAGTGCTGTAGCTACCTTTAGAAATCTCACATTGGTACCTTCTTTGCATTTTGTCAAATCTGCAGTGAAAGTGTTCTTAAAAGAAACAACATGTGCTGGGTCATCACCTGAGACTGCTATAACATGAAATATATGGCAGAATGCAGGTAAAACACAGAGCAGGAGACATACAATTCTCCTGCAAGGAGTTGAGTCACAAATTTAATTAACACATTATTTTTTTAATGAGTGTCATCAGCATGGAAGCATGTCCTCCGGAATGGTGGCTGAAGCATGAAGGGACATACAAATGTTTAGCATATCTGGCAGGTAAATACCTTGTAATGCCAGCTACAAAAATGCCCTGTGTACGCCTGTTCTCATTTTCAGGTGACATTATAAATAAGAAGCGGGCAGTATTATCTCCCAAAAATGTACACAAAGTTGTTTGTCTTAACAAGTGGCTGAACAAGAAGTAGGACTGAGTGGACTTGTAGGCTCTAAAGTTTTACATATTTTTGTTTTTGAGTGCAGTTATGTCACACACAAAAATCTGTATTTGTAAGTTGCACTTTCACAATAAAGAGATTGCACTAGAGTACTTGTATGAGGTGAATTGAAAAATACCATTTCTTTTATCATTTTTACAGTGCAAATATTTGTAATAAAAATAATATAAAGTGAGCACTGTAAGACTTTGTATTCTGTGTTGAAATTGAAATCAATATATTTGAAAATGTAGAAAAACATCAAAAATATTAATAAATTTAAATTGGTATTCTATTGTTTAACAGTACGATTAAAACTGCAATTAATTGCGATTAAAGTTAATCGCATGAGTAAACTGTGATTAATCGACAGTCCTAGTTACAAAGCAAAAACAAATTATGGGATCTGTTTTAAAATAGAGTAGATTTTCAAAACATAAAAAAAGACATGTCAGCTACATTAAACACGCTGGGGCTAACAGTGTTCCATCAATGACTGATGGACTTGCGAGTCTAGCTAATGAAGACAGGAACACTGTTAAATATGCATGACATTGCTCATTTGTTTAAATAGACAGGCAAAAGAATCAATGAATTGGTTAAAGTTAATAATAAGAAAGCAAAAAACAAAGTGGGAATGAAAATCATTTTTGTACCACTTATGGTGGCTATGCATTGGACAGGGTAATCAATACACTAAGAAATGTTGAAGTTGGAAAGGTGCCAAACCTTATTGAGAATAAACACCTAAGTAAATGGTACAAAAGGAACTTCTGTGAATTGGCAATGTGTTAAAGCATGTAAACAAATTCCTTTTAGTACTCTTCAAAATTTGGGCTCTGTGATACCACATCCTAATCAAGGCACATCTTATTCTAAACAATCTTTTTGAGTGTCAGACTTTACCAATAGTAAACCCAAATATGGCAATATTTAATAAATGAGGCACAGTAGAAGGTTACCTAAAAACAGGAATCTACAAAGAACACCTATATCTATGTGGATCTGCTGGTGCTTTATTAAGCAACACAAAAACCTGGTGGGCACCACCTATGGCTAGTTGCTCCACAAAAGGGCTATTAATACCTATGGAGGTGTGATGTCTTCAGCATCACAATGCCTGTCTGCGGTCATGCCTGCCAGACCCAGCCCAACAAGACAGATGAGCTAGCTGCCACTGTCTCCTTTCCTGTGATACTCACCAGGTGATGACTCCCAGCAGTAAAATGGCCAAACTACAAAAACGATTATTGGCCAAACTACAGTTATGCTTGTACCAGCATTTCAGAATGAAACTATTATTCAAAGTGAACCCAACCATTAAAAAAAACGTTGAAAATTACATATTATTGATCCACTGACCTTAACTATAAAAGCATTACTAGCTTGAAAAAATACCCATGTTGTTCAAATTAGCAATAACATGTATAAAGATGTAGAAGATTTTATATATAATGGTGACTTGGACCTATTTATTTCTAATATATGGATAGAAGTTATCTTTAACAAATTAATTGTTTTACAAATAGTGTTCGGTTTAGTTGTGTTAATTTTGTATCGTTGCTTGCATATTTTGTCCATTTCTCATCTCCTAAGGTGAATTTTTCCCCCTGTTTGCATGTGATTTATTACTTCTCATGACACTGAATTATCACAAATTAAATACTATGGTTTTCACAGTGCTGACTGCCAGACAGCCGAGTTTACAATTCACGGTAAAGGATTTATTTTCTCTTCCCCCCACCATTTACACATCAAGTTTTGCAAAGAGTTAACTTTTCTTTTAAAACAAAGGAAGGGTGCAAGGGGGGGTAGAGACAAGAGAAAACTTTAAGCTCAAATTCCCTACATACAAATCAGAAAACTTTGTAGTTACTGAATTTACAGAACACCAGACCTGCTCAGGAGATTGCTCAGTTATGCCTTGCTAGGCAATAGTGTGGCAGGTTTTCTAAATTCTCCCTTAGAAAGAAACAAACAAAAGATCCACTTGTCAAACTGCTGCTTAATGTGTGCCTACTCTGTCTCTGTTTCCCGCTAGCCCTCAAGATTTCCCCCTCTTTACAACTTCATTTTCTAACAGAAATAAACCACACTTGTCTCTCCACTGCTTCTGAGTCTGGAGAGAAATGAGCTATGAGGAAGGGAAGTCTTCTGATTGGACAACTTCCTCATCAGCTTAGGGAGTGATATATAAACACATAAAAATACATAAATAGAAATGTCTCCTGTAGTGTACACCTTATCCGTGTGAGGTAAATCAGAACAAAATAGGGGGGGAACAACCTTAGGTACATGCAGGTATAAGGCCAGTCACCAGGTTCAGAGCTGAATGTATATCCAAACTTCCCTGGATTTCTATGGAGCTAACTGTTCCAGTTCAGAACCACCTCTAAGTATCTGACATAACAGCTGCAGCCACTTTGTGCTACGTATGTGGCATGTTATAGCCAGAGGATCCATGTAGGAACAGATCCTGGACCTGTCTCATTGTTGCACTCCACACTGACTAATGTAGAGCCCACAAAGAGACCCTTTCCATGGTACGCAGGGGGGATGGAGACTCCCAAAACAGCCACAAGTCCCAGCCCCCCATCCCTCCCTGTAGCTCTAGTAGAGAGATAAAGTAGTGAGACGAACTGGGTGTTGGCACTCCACACCTGGGTGATGAATTTCACACCTAATGATTTAAGAGCTCAAACTTTTTTTTAAATATACAATTTAGTTCCCATTTAGTGAAGTTAAATGTTTGTTGCTGCTGAGACAGACCAACCAAATACAGTAAAATTGTCAGAAAGAAAAATGTTCCCATAGTGCACGAGGCAAAGATAAAATTACCAACAAAGATTAATACAAAGGTATTTTTAAACTTTATCTGAAGTAGGGATAAACAGCAACTGTGATTCATCCCTTTTTAAATCTTTGCCAAGTACTGCCTCAATGAGTTCTTGTTTGATTATTTTAGCGCTGCTGGAATTTTGCTGTATTTCTAGCTATATGTTAGGGTTCATAGAGCTTATTATGGGCACCTCTTTATTATTCAAAGATAAATAAATACATAAAACAAATAGATATTTGGGCCAAATTCCACGTACTGATCCACATGAAAGTCAAAGGGAGTCATCTAAATGGTAAAAATTCACCCCTAATTACATCTTTACATCTATTAGCATTCTTAGGGACTGTTTTTCTTTCCTAGTCCTTGGGAAGGCTTGTGGGTCAGGAGAACATTTAGGGATTGAGCCTGCAGTCTTTGTTTTGACAAAAATTCTCATTTGACTTCAGTGGGAAAAAGGACAGCTAGATTGGACTAATACCTATGGAGTCAATCTAAACATACTAATCCATGCCATGTTATTTTAATAGCTAGAATGCTCTAAGCTTGATGGGAAGGTATTTGATTGTCTTTTGAAGCATGTATGATGATTGATGTTACTGTGGGAATACAATTCAGTAATCTACTTTTGTTTTCTTTTAAGGCTACCGGATCTCAGATAGGAATGATTGTCAGTTCCTTAACCAACATTGGAGTGGCCATTATCATTGCTTTCTACTTCAGCTGGAAACTAAGTCTAGTTATAATGTGCTTCCTGCCCTTTTTAGCCTTATCTGGTGCTGTGCAGGCTAAAATGTTGACAGGATTTGCCTCGCAGGACAAGCAAGCTATGGAAATTACTGGGCAGGTAATGTTTTCTGAAAACTAATTTTAGATTAGCAGGCATTTGGGGCAGATGTGTGTGACAGTCATAGCTCATGCAGTTGGAATTATCAGTGAGTCAGACGCTATAGAAGTGGCAGAGATATACAAGGGGCAGTATTTCTGCTTGTCAGGCCACTGAAATTTCATGGCGACTTTCCCAGCTCTAAAAGTACTTACTACTTGGAATGTGACTTCCTCCTCAAAAAGGCTATGACCTCGGATGGTAAGATATGAGTCTCTAATTCCAGTCTCTTTTATTGCTTATTCCTTTTAAAATGCATATCTGAAGGCACCCTCTTATGCTTTTGTAGCCCATCAGCAGGAAACAATGGTCATGTGCATTAAGAAATCATTGCATTCTAGAATTCAGCACTAACCCAGAAAACAGTATCTGCTGATTTTAAAGACAGCTGGGTTGTTTTTATAGTGAGCTGTATTCTGCAACTGGATGGGCTAGATTTTAGGAGCCCACTGTTTCCACATCAGTTGGATTTTCTAAGCTAGAACATAGCATAGTAAAGCCTTTCCTTTATAGGAGTAATGTAAACTTTTTTGCTTTGACTTTTTGTACCATGCAGCATGTCTTCCTCTGCTGTCTCATTTTGATACCAAACAAAGTGTACATTGTAACTGCAGTATGTGTTCTCCAAAGTGGGTGAGGGAAATAGATACAGGTCAAGTTTGTTAAGCAAGCCATCACAGGAGTGAGAGCCTTCACAGGGAGGAATAAGTTCTGTGTGCAGTGTTCCCTGATTGTCTGCCTTCTCTGTTGCTCCCACTCCCATTCTCTCCCGATTTCCCAGTTAGCAAACCTTCATGGTCTTTTGGCAATGAACATCTAGGGGCTGCTCCATATGTGGTTCTTAATAGGGGTCTCTGTGGAGAGGTTATAGGCACTCAGCCAGATCAGTAATTACTGAGAGAGTGTCTCAGCCAAAGCCACTAGCTGCATTTGCTGGATGATCTCTAGTGTATGTAGCAGCAGCTGAGGTGGGGAAGAGACAGGGAATGGCAGCTGTCCATTCTCCCCATCCCTAGTCAGAAATGGAGGTGAACAGGGCAGCTGCCCTGACAGCACTCATAGGGTTCCTTGTCTTAAAATCTGTCACCGATGCTGCCAGCCACATGTTGCCAGTAGCCAGAACTGGATCCATTTTAAAACGTACCTGGTACAACAGTGCAAATACTGATCTGCACCAAGAAAATGGGGACAGTTGGAGGACATGGTATTAGAAACACTCCCCATTTAGTAACTGTGCAGACTTCCTTCCCCCCCGCCCCTGATGCAGAGAAAAAAAGAGATTATGGAATGATTTTTTTCATAGATGTAGGCTTGCCGGCAGAGTTATACAGCACAATTCCTCCTTCTCTGGGACTGAGGCCAAACAGTTTGTCAGACAAACAGGGATATGCAGGTCTAAATAAATTAAACTGTAGAAATGAATGAGTTCTACAAATGTAGATTATCCTTATATGTTAACAGAATTCTAGGCAAACTAAAAAAAAAAAATCACATGCCTGTATACAACATGAATTAAGATAATTAACACCTCATGGAGTTGATAACACTAGTTCAAACAAAGACACCCAAAGTCTAGGAAGAGTCAATGCTGACTATTCTCTCATTCACAATGGCTAAATTATTTACAGCAAATAATCAATCAAAATACCTTCTTGAAATTGATGTAGAGATAGAAACTTGACAAATGGCCAGTGCATCAGCCATTACTCAACGGAATGACCCAGAGGCTAGGAAGAAAAGGACATTCAATGCTTCAATGACTGATTATGTCTGGTGATATTTTCTAATTTATTCAGCAGCCTAGCATCTAAATACAAAAGGGTTTGTTTAAGTCTTTTCTACAATGATTGCTTCTCTGCCATTTTAAAATATAGAAAGACATAGTCTGAATACTCAAGTTCACAAGGCCTATTTATTCTCTCCTTCAAGGTACATGCTAATGCTCCAGTACTAATGCTACACACTGGCCTGGAAAAAATGTAATGGAAAATTGACCTAAATCATTTTTAAGTATTCATATTCAGGTCACCTCCTCTATGCTGCATGCAGAAAGCTTTCATAGGCAATGAAACAAAATTTAGTAAGAATATCTATACATAGATAAGAGAAGGCAAAACAGACTGAGCCATTACAAATGGCAAGGCAAACAGCAAGTACATTTAAACATGACAAACCTGTGAATTAAAATACACAGGACAAACTGAATGAAGCAATAATCTGGTATAGAATAAACTCTGTGTGCCTTCCACTGATGAAAATATAGCCCAACTGTGGGTTGAGACTAACTTTATAAGCAACAAAACTAGATCCTAATCCTTACAATTAACGGGTATCTCAAAAAAGTTTCCAAAGCAGAGAAAAAGACAATGGGGAATTGATACCAGCTTCCTACACTGCATCATAATATTACACAATAGATTGTACATGCAGTCAGGCATGGGATTGCTCTTTCTCTACCCTCTGGCTGAAACCCTGGTCCCACCGAAGTTGATGGGAGTTTTGCCATTAGCTTCAGTGCAGCCAGGATTGTACCCTCATCTGTATGTTCCGTCTAGCCACTTTTCTTGAACATGAACTGGCAAGGTGTTAATGGAAAAGCTTAAGTAGTAAATTCATCTGCCTTTAATTTATAAAAAGTTAGGCTCTATCACCCTTTCCCCCAAGACCACTGGTGTAAGAAAAAAACGGAAACAAAACAATTGAAATAAAAACGTTCTTAAAAAGTGCAAACAAGAAAATAACCACTTTTCATCTATGATTAACACCAACATTCCCACAGTTCCATATATTTAAAAATATTTAGCATTATGACATATTCGGTGTTGCTAAGTTTAACTAGAGATTGCTGCCTAAAATGCCATTGTCAAGCCCATGGTCAGACTAAGATATACGTTACAAATCCCTAGTCCTATGTTCAGCCGGACACGCATCTCCCAGCACAACACAATATCAGCATGGGAAGTTGAGGAAGGCCATGTTTCAGCTGATGAGAGGGTCTGCCAGAATAACCACACCTCTTTGTTTGGAGCTGGACACATTCTATTATTAAGGAATAGTGGTGCCAGTGACATATACAAAGTGAAATTCACCCATGTGTAAGAGCCCAAGCAAGGCCATCCTCAGCGTGAATGTTTTGCAGTAGTCTAGTCCGAGGAGGGTTGACTTCAGAAAAGGTCCTGTTTGAGGTTTGCATCAGTTCTTATTGTATCTGAACCAATTTGTACGTCATTAGTTTCTATAATTTGCCAAACAATCATGTTGCCCTCTCAGTGAAAAGTGGGATAAAGAGAAGGTCTTCCCACTTTTTCAGAGTGATTCCTAAATGTTTTACTTGTAACCTATTTTTTTCTTCAGATTTCCAGTGAAGCCCTCTCTAACATTAGGACTGTAGCTGGAATAGGGAAGGAGAGAAAGTTTATTGAAGCATATGAAGAACAGCTGGAAATCCCATATAGAGCTGCAATCAGTAAAGCAAATGTTTATGGAATCTGTTTTGGCTTTGCCCAATGTGTAGTGTTCATAGCCAATTCAGTCTCTTATCGATATGGAGGTTTTTTGGTGGAGAATGAAGGACTTCATTATAGCCATGTGTTTAGGTAAGAAGATACTTGCAGACAGGCACATACTCCACTACAGAAGTATGTTGTTTACAATAAAATTCACAAATTTACATAACCCACGAGCTAAAAGCTTTCCTCCTTGACTGCAGGGTGATCTCTGCCGTTGTGACCAGTGGCACTGCTTTGGGAAGAGCTTCTTCTTATACTCCAAACTATGCTAAAGCAAAAATATCTGCTGCACGTTTTTTTCAACTGGTGGATCGGGTTCCCCAAATCAGTGTTTACAGTAATGGAGGGGAAAAATGGGTAAGAGTAGAGATGAGTAATGCAGGTAATGTCATTATTCAACCCAATGATATAGATATTGAAACCCCAGTAATTAGGGATTATTTCATATACACCTCTGTTTGTGAGCAAGGTAAGTTGACATCAGAATATTTGCTAGATATCCTTGCTTTTGGGAAGTACTGAGCTATGTACTATAATGTAAGCATGAGACATGCAGTCAAATTATTCCCAGTCTACCAGAAATTTCACACAGAGGATCAATAAATGGTGAATACATACTGATAACTGATCTGAGAGTTGGGAGCTGGATGGATTCACTGGATAATGAGATTTTCTTCCACCTCTACAACAGTGATTTAAATCCAGACGGGTTCAGTCGCTAAGCATGTTTATAATCTCCTTGTTCTTGTATGAGCACATCACAGAAACACCATCAAATTTGGCATTAATTGGCACCTCTGTTGGCAATCAAAACCTCTGAATGGAGTTGGAGAATGAACTACCGTCTCAGCTCAAAAGTTGGTCCCCTTCTATGTTTAGGCTATTTGCAGTACAGTGTGGGGAAGCTTCCACTGATAGAATGAATGAATACAGCAGCATAGTTCTGGCTAAATAGAAGACTCCTGTCCCAGGACAGTCAAGCCAGTCAGTCTTCGGGTTCCTCAGTCTCCAGGGTTATTTCACAAGCACCTAAGTCACTCACAAAAACTAATATTGGAAACAAGAATCATATTTAATGTGAGGAGTTTTGTCACTCTTTAGAATTCAGTTCTTAGCACTTTCTTTCTCACTTTTTCACCAGGACAATTTCAAGGGAAGAATTGAATTTATCAACTGCAGGTTCACGTATCCTTCTCGGCCTGACATCCAAGTTTTGAACGGCTTCTCAGTGTCTGTTAAACCTGCTCAGACACTTGCATTTGTTGGAAGTAGTGGATGTGGCAAAAGCACTAGCGTCCAGCTTCTGGAGCGCTTTTATGACCCTGAGAAAGGACGTGTGGTAAGCAGCTTTCACTACTTGGATAGTTTTTCACTCTATATGCATCCGAAGAAGTGGGTTGTAGCCCACGAAAGCTTATGCTCTAATAAATTTGTTAGTCTCTAAGGTGCCACAAGTACTCCTGTTCTTTTTGCGGATACAGACTAACACGGCTGCTACTCTGAAACTTGGATAGTTTTAGTGCTTGCCAGCTGCAGAAATCTTCAGACTCCAAAGTTCTTCTCCAATGCTACATAGGAGATTTTACCAAAGAGTCACTAAGTAACATTTGCACAGCTGAGGATCACTTCAGTGGATTTTCACACCATCCACAATAGGGTGTAGCTCTCTTGATCTTTCCTCAAATTTACAGTCTAAAGTTCTCCAATGATCCAACCTAAGTTGGTGAACCTTGGCTGGTTCTCTCTGCTGATGCTCAGTAACAGTCACAGAGAGGCCCTAGAAGGAGGTAATACACCTCTATGCAGAAATCCAGGCACACAGATGGGATTGGTGTCATGGAGAGCAGCACCTTCCCTTTTTGACACCCTCCTGCCCCTCAGAATCCAAATAGCCCAAGTGTAGAGACATCTGAGAGGGTTAGGGAGGGAAAATTAGACTTACCTCTTCAAGAAGATCCACCTGGAATGAGCTGGCCTTTGGTTTTTGCTCAGTCTTCTTGTAGGCAAAATTCTCATTGAAATCAGCGGGAGCTTTGCCTGAGTAAGAACTGAACAGTTAAGGTCCATGTATCATACTATCAGTTGTGAAATCTGCTTAAAAGTCAATGCACGTGGCCTTGAGTAAAGACTTCAGCATTTGGCCTACTAGAGTTCTTTGGTCACAATGGGCATACAAATATTTTGTGCCTATTGCTTGCCACTCAGAGAATGTGCACTATACTGTTATCTCCTTGGACCTGTATAATTCCATAGATTTCAAAGCCAGAAGGGACCCTTGTGATCATTTATTTGCTAAAAACAAAGAAGCTAAATCTAAACAGTATTCTTATTCTAGTTACTAACAGTAGTGTGATGTTGTGCACACTTTATTTTACAAAGCTGTATATATTTAAACCCTTGTTGTGACTATTTTGTTTCAGCAAAAGCTATTCATTCTTTGTATGTCACAAGTCTGAAATGATATATCATATTTTGTCTTTTTTACTGGTAGTTAATAGATGGCCATGATTCCAAGAAAGTAAATATACAGTTCCTTAGATCTAAAATTGGAATAGTGTCTCAGGAGCCTGTGTTATTTGACTGTAGTATTGCTGATAATATTAAATATGGTGATAACAGCAAAGAGATCACTATGAAAGAAGTTATAGAAGCAGCAAAGAAGGCCCAGCTGCATGACTTTGTCATGTCCCTTCCAGATGTAAGTATATTTGCAAGGACAGTAAAAACCTAAAAACCAAAATCAAACAAATGCTATGATGGGGCCTGAATAGTGGGACAAAAGACAGCTGAGAAAGGCAAGGTATTCATTGTAATGAGATTTCCACCAAAACAAATTAGACCTTTTCATGTGCCAACAGTGGTCTTTTTATTTTCACAGCTCTTGGTGGTGGTGGTGGTGGTGAATGGAGAATGGCATAATGTTGTTTTTGTTGTGATTTATTTTATGGGGATTTGGGGTTTGATTTTTATTTTTTTTACTGTTGGGTAAATACTTTAAAAATTAAATATCCAGCAGAAAGCAATATTTTCAAAATTTCAAACTCTGATAGGAGACGGAAAGGAAAGGTTCCAGCATTACCAAACAGAAAGGAGAGGAAGCAAACAGGGTTACCAAACAGAAAGGAGACTCATGGCCCACTCCCCATGGGGCACCACAATATTGTCCCAGTTTATCCATTGTTGTAATTGAAGACATGCTCATTTAGGAATAAAATTTCCCCTATGGTATATTTTTCAGAAATATGAAACTAATGTTGGGGCTCAGGGATCCCAGCTTTCTCGTGGGCAAAAGCAACGCATCGCTATAGCTCGGGCCATCATACGAGATCCTAAAATCTTATTACTGGATGAAGCAACATCTGCCTTAGACACAGAAAGTGAAAAGGTAAATATGCAATAAAAGAGAATGAGGGAGGTTCAGTATAATTATCTAGGTGTGTTCTCATAAAAGAAATGTCCATAATAATAAAATTTAATTTTAATTTGTTTCTGTCTGATACAGAAACCTTAGAAAAGTACAAGATAAAGAGATACCCTCTTATCACAGACAGTATTTTTTTCTTTGAGTAAATTCAGCCCTGAAACACTATTTATAACATTCTAATACAGGGGTCAGCAACCTTTCAGAAGTGGTGTGCCGAGTCTTCATTTATTCACTCTGATTTAAGGTTTCGCGTGCCAGTAATACATTTTAACGTTTTTAGAAGGTCTCTCTCTAGAAGTCTATAATAAATAACTAAACTATTGTTGTATGTAAAGTAAATAAGGTTTTTAAAATGTTTAAGAAGCTTCATTTAAAATTTAATTAAAATGCAGAGCCCCCCCAGACCCGGGCAGTGTGCATGCCATTGAAAATCAGCTTGCGTGCCGCCTTTGGCACGCATGCCATAGGTTGCCTACCCTTGTTCTAATATGTAAAAATACAAAACCAACCAGCCATAGTTGCTCTTAGACACCCTCCTGCAGCAATCAGCTGTTTCACGCCATTCAGGAGGCTTTGGGGGAGGAGTGAGGATGCGGCATGCATCCCCCAAATGCCCCCAAACAGCTGATTGTTGCAGGCAGGAGGCACAGGGAGGGAAGGGGGAGGCTGCGCGGTGCGTCCTCCCCCTCTCCCCCAGCCTCCTGAATGCCGCAAAACAGCTGATTGCTGTGGGCGGGAGGCACGGGGAGGGAGGTGGAGGCTGCGCGCCTCCCGCCCGCAGCAATCAGCTGTTTTGCGCCATTCAGGAGGCTGGGGGGGAAGAGAGGAGGAGTGAGGATGCAGCATGCAGCCTGCCCCCTCCCCCCCAAATGCCCCAAAACAGCTGATTGCTGCGGGCAGGAGGCACAGGGAGGGAAGGAGGAGGCTGCGCGCCGCGTTCTCCCCCTCTCCCCCAGCCTTCTGAATGCCGCAAAACAGCTGATTGTTGCGGGTGGGTGGCGTGGAGAGGGAGGTGTGAGGATGCAGTGCGCTTGCGGGGAGGGAGGGAGCCGGGGCAGGAAAAGGTGGGGTGGGGGGTGGAGCGGGGGTGGGCTTAGGGAAGAGCCGGGGGTTGAGCACCCCCAGGCACTTTGGAAAGAACAGCAAGAGGAGCAGCCGGACGATCCACCCTCTTTCACCCTCTGACTCCATCACCTCAACCAAACTTCACAATCTTCATTGCTGTGTACAGTATTAAATTGTTTGTTTAAAATTGTTTAAAACTTACATTGTATATGTATATAATGTCTTTTGTCTGGTGAAAAAAAATTCTCTGGAACCTAATCCCCCCATTTACATGAATTCTTAAGGGGAAATTGGATTCGCTTAACATCGTTTCTCTTAAAGTTGCATTTTTCAAGAACATAACTACAACGTTAAGTGAGGAATTACTGTATGCATAAAGGGCCTGAGCATGCAGTAATTTCATTAACTTCAATTAAAGACTGCAGCACTGCGACTAAGAACTCAGGCAAGGATTTGCATGGCTTTCTTGCACCTTGAGATGAAAGTAACACTGGTAGTTTTAAACCACATCAGCACTAAAATGACATTCAGGATGTAACTGAAGGACTCATGTATAATTTCTAGAGTTATGCATATTTGCTAATCCCTCCTATATACTAGCGGTTTAATTCATGGGTCAGCCAAGCACATCAATAACTTCACCTTTGATTCAGCTTTGGTTCAAATGTCCAACAGTAAATTTTAGAAATGCTGAGCCATCTAATTATTGGTATAGACTAATCAGGGATTTTCCAGATCTTGACCTCCATTTCAGCTGGCACATTTTCATTCTGATACTTTGTCTATTGTCTGCAGACTGTGCAAGATGCATTGGATAAAGCCAGAGAGGGACGGACCTGCATTGTCATAGCACATCGGTTGTCTACAATTCAACACTCTGATATCATAGCTGTCATGTCTCAAGGAATTATTGTTGAAAAGGGCAATCATAATGAACTGATGGCCAGGGAAGGAGCTTATTACAAACTTGTCACCACTGGAGCACCAATTAGCTGATTTACCACAGGCTCTGTGTAAACTTGAAGGATGATACTTTTCTAAATGAGAACTCTGCAGTTGGTTTGGCAATGTTGGTACCCCTTTAAGTTATTACATGGTACAAAACGCTCTGTCATATGACAAGTTACATGGGACATTATCGAGCCTAAAATGTATCTTGCCTTCTGGAGTAAGCAAGCCCTGTAGGATCATATATCGTGACTACAGTGATTTGTTCAGGAGATAGCCTAGCCCATTGTGCAAGGGAGAGAAGGAAATTTCCTGGTAAGAAAACTCTTTATTTGGGAGTTGTGGAGCTATTTGAGGGTAGGGAGCTCATGTAAAATGGCTTTGTAGTCCGGCTGCACAGTGCCTTACTTGCCTGACTAAAGGTTAGTCAAGGAAGAATCCACCCTGAATACTAGCATGCCAGAGCAGGGATTGCTTCTTTTGGCAAGTTATAGGGCTAAAACCTAACACCAAGTACGATACTATATTCTATTTTAGGGGTGGGATCAAATATTTCCTAACTTGAAGGTTTTACAGACAGAATTAAAATAAATACTCTCAATGTGGTTATAGAAAACTTTTTTGCCCCATTCTTTGTCCCTCTTGTCTATTTAGATTGTGAGCTCTTTCAGGCAAGGACTGTCTTTTACTGTGTGTTTGTACAGTGCCTAGCACCAGGGGGCCCTGACCTACACTGGAGGATCTAGATGCTACTTGTGAAATAAATAAAAAATAATAACAATGAAGTCAGCTTCATGCCACTATGCTAAAGAAAGAGATTGAGAAGAGGAACAGAAGCTGGTAAAGATTAATTCTTCTAAGTTAGCCACTTTATTAAATGGCCTCAGCTAAATGATTTGAATATGAATAAATACTAAGTTAAATCAATAATTATTTTTCACTGTTATTTAATTTCTTTCTTACCATGAAACTGTGCTAGATAAATAGAGAATTTCACATTTTCATCACTGGTGACCATATCATGCCATTTCTTTTTAAGGAGAATGTAAAAATTCTGTAAAGCTTAAAGAATAAAAAAGATTTCCATTTCTATTGATCATGGAGAATGTTCACAGTTATATTAGATTGGTTTGACCTTTGTACATATAAACTATCATGCTTCAAGGCATAAGCCAAATACTAAGTGAAGATTAGGAACAGCCTTTCTCTGAAGGAAGGTTATTCTATAATTTTCCATTATGAGGTTTATTGCACCTTTCTCTAAAGTGTCTTTTTTGGCCTGCCTAATTATACTTTTACACTTGGCTTGTAGGGTTTATGCTCCTTTCTATTTTCTGCAGCAGAATTTGACTTCCAGTTGTTTAAAGGATGCCTTTTTCTCTCTAACCAACTCATTTACTCTGCTGTTTAGCTATGGTGGCTTTTTTTTTTTTTTGGGTCCTCTTACTGTTTTCTTTTTTAGTTGGGGTATACATTTAGTTTGCGCCCCTACTACGTTTTTTTAACTAGTTTCCATGCAGGCTGCAGACCTTTCACTCTTGTGACTGTTTCTTTTAATTTCCATTTAAATAGCTGTCTCATTTTTGTACAGTCCCTCTTTCTGAAGTTGCTCCTGTGGTGGGTTTCGTTGTTACTTTCCCCACTACATTATTACATTGTGGTCGCTTTTACCAAGCAGTTCAGCTATATTTAGGATTGCCAGGTACCTGGTTTTTTGACCGAAACACCTGGTTGAAAAGGGACCCTGGCAGCTCCGGTTAGCACCACTGACCGGGCCGTTAGAAGGCCAGTCAGTGGCGCACTGAGGCTAAGGCAGGCTGCCTGCCTGCCCTGGTTCTGTGCAGCTCCCCAGAAGCGGCCGGCATGTCCGGCCCCCTAGGTGCAGGAGTGGTCAGGGAAGCTCCGCTTGCTGCACCGGCTCCGCAGCTCCCATTGGCCACAAACCGTGGCCAATGGGAGCTACAGGGGCAGTGCCTGCGAACGCAGGCAGCGCGCACAGCTGCCTGGCCATGCCTCCGCCTAGGGTCCAGATATGCCGGCCACTTCCGGGAGCAGTGTGGAGCCAGGGCAGGCAGGGAGCCTGCCTTAGCCCCGCTACACCACCGACCAGGAGCTGCCTGCCCCAGGTCAGAACCCCCTCCTACACCCTAGCTCCCTCCCAGAGACCGCACCCCCATATGCCCTCCTGCACCCCACACCCTACCCCAGCCCTGAGTCCTCTCCCACACTCCAAACTCCTCGGCCCCAGCCTGGAGCCCCCTCCCGCACCCTGAATCCCTCATTTCTGCCCGCACCCTCCAGCTGGAGCCTGCACCCCTGTCCCAGCCCAGTGAGGGTGGGGGAGAGCGAGTGATGGAGGAGGGGGGCTGGAGTGAGTGGGAGCAGGGCCTCAGGGAAGGGGCAGGACAAGGGTAGGGTTACCATACGTCCGGATTTTCCCGGACATGTCTGGCTTTTTGGGCTCCAAATCCCCGTCCGGGGGGAAATCCCAAAAAGCCGGACATGTCCGGGAAAATCGGGACGTGCGGTGCCGGGGGCTCGGGGGCCGGGCCGGCGGTGCGGTGCCGAGCC